GAAACTTGTTAACATCTCACGTCTGTTAGGTGGCCTGTGCAAAGGGAGTTGTCAGTGTTGATAGAGTTTTTAGTTAATAAGGGGGTTGTCATATGCATGGCATCCTTCATTGTTTTACACAAGAACATAGGAACTGCTGCGGCTTAAGCTGAGTCACATTGTGAGGGCAGAAAAAGGGAAGTTAGATGTGGTCCGTGGCTAATCAAAAGGCATTTGAAACTCTTCTATATATAAAGCAGAACTGTGTCTGAAACTATTAAAATTTTTACTAAAATATTCTTTCACTGTCATGTTCAGGAACATGTCCACTTGCAAGAGCAGGTGTGCAACTAAAAATGTCTGAAAATTCAGCAATAAAATATCTAGAAACTGCATCAACACTGACAACTCACTTCACATAGGCCATCTAGGAGACATCAGATGCTAATGAACTTCAGCCTTTGCTGAGGTGATGTAGCAGAGTAGGTCATTAAGTTGAATAAGTAGAATCTTCCCAAAAACATTGACGATAGGTGGTTAGAGAATATAAGCATTGCTAAAACTATAAATTGAAGTTACACATGGGAAACCAACAAATATTTTGCATCATGGAATTTGAAACTCTCTTTTATCACCCCACACACATGCTTTTAAATTGTAGCGCCAGACGAAGATGGAACTAGCTGTGCTCCAGTATTGGCCCAATACAGTCAGCACCCAAAACTAAAAGTATCACATTAACATGATGTCTTTGCTTGCCCTTAGACCAGTGATATTGTTGTGGTAAATTACTTGCAAAAGCAGAACTAAGGTGCTGGGTGTAGTGGAAATGTCTTAAAAGGAAGTATTTAGGAAGTCTGTTATGCAGCCATGGTGCTGACAATGTTCAGAATCAGTAAGTGCCATAAAAACCATGTACTATGGAAATCAAGGAAGGACAGTCAGTCAGAAGTAACTGATCTGTGTCTAAGTTGTTGTATCCTCTGCTGCATAACACAGGCACAGGAATAAGTTGCTGGGTAGTCAGTGATATCAGATACATCTTTGTTGAATAAATATGCATTTAGAAACCCTCTGGGACTCCACCACACTTCCCCCTATGAGTTCTTCCTCCTACTGAAACTTTCTTATCCACATCTTCAACCTTTTGTTGATGTTCTTCCTCTTCCTACACTTCTTCAAAATTTTGCTGGAGAAAAAGTGTCACCTCTGCTCATGCAGCTGGAGTTTCTCCCCTTTTCTGAAAAACAGCAGGAAAGAAGGAGCAGAGGACTGGAAAAGCCTCGGTCTTGTTTTGATGTCAGTAAGAGTTTCACATAAGTTAAAACAGCAGTTCCAAGCACAGAAAGGACTCTGTATGACATTGTTTTTATAAAGAATATTTGTAAATGTTATGTAAGCTGAACCGATCTGCAATACCTAAACTTTTCATTGCTTTTCATGGCAGAGGAAAGAAGATATTATAAATATGTAAAATAAGGCACTAGTACATTAACATAAATAACTCTAATAAATTGTAAAGCTTTGTAGAAAACAGAAAACTGCTAATGGAATAATGCACATTTGTTGATTCTGGGAGCAGACACTGGCCATACATCATGCACCAAAGCAAGTGCTAAGAGCATCAGCATGTAACAGCATTATTTAAACTTCTTTTATGGGCAAGATTAAATAGTCATCAAAGCGGACCATACTGAGACTGTGGATTGGTTCCTACAGCCACTGATTCCCTCTTCTACTTTTTGTTTGCATATACAAGACTATCACAGGAACTTCAGTGTTTGGGGTTCTCGTTAATATTTACATCCTTAAAGCAATATACCTTTACAGCAGTTGACCACCAGATTATCAATAATGAAGGCTACCCTTCCGAAAGGACCAGCCCAGAGGTCAAACACACAAGATTCAGTAATTTCCTTCTGTCATCCTGCCTCACTCAACCTTGCCAGACAACCTCAAGAAAGGATTATCATGTGGTCTCTCTCACTCCATTGCTTTGCTGCTTTGACCAACAGAGGCATCAGTGAAACATAATACAGTGGGCAAAAAGTGGTGTCAACTCACAGCCCACAGGAACTGAACAAAACCCATCAGCTCATTGCATGTAGAGCACTGAATACAGTGACAAGATAAATGGCAATTACTTTTGGTCACTCTAGTCTGGCATGGATTTGAAAGAAGGTATAAAGAATATAGGCAAAGACACATGATGATCAAAGCTCCTGCAGAGGTGGTTAAGTCCCATATTTCTCAAAATGTGGATTTGTATGTAAAGACCTTGATTCAAGCATTTTCCCCTGCATATTCCTGAATTCCATAGGGTTACTCACATTCTTAAAACTAAGCTGAAATGGAAGTCAAAAGGTACTACCCACACAAGCCTTCCTCCATTCTGTGATAGGAAGACCAGGAACAAATGTTAACCCACTCTTCTGAGGAGCAAACCTATTAAACTGCACACACCCAGGCAGGGCATGTGGAAAGTCAAGCACCATAGCTGTACTCTGGCATATTCTGCAGCTTTGTAAATTTGGCCCATCCTTTCCTGCCAAGGAATGAAAATACTTTAGAGCCAAGTTAAAGGCATGAATTGCAGATTGAGAGTCCTTCGGTGGTTGATGTTCTTTATGCCAGATAAAACAAATAATAGAGCTTGATGGAATGGAAATCTCCATATTCTGCCATACATTGAATTTGTTTATGGTTCACTTGGCACAAATTTTTTTCCCCCTTTGGTATTAAATGGACTTTTAAACTGAAAGTGAATTTTGATATTAAAAAAGCTCTGACTGTAAAAATGGACAAATTAACAGGAATGAGCATTTTCACACAGGAAAAAATGATTCATTAACTGCTCTTTTGCCATTGTAGAAGAGCCCATTTTTGGCTTGTCCTCAGAGAGTCCAAGGATGCTTATAATACAAGCAACGTTTAGAAAAACTTCATTACACAGAGAAAATTCCAGGCTTCAATTTTTCTTCTTGAGAGAGTTCAGTAGTTGCTTTATTCTCTGTGTGTGTGTGTGTGTGTGTGTTTATACACAAAATTAGGTTCTAGAAAAGTGCATTTATGCAAAAAGCAATTCATCAACCACTTCTGTGCTCAGAATTCACTGAGGTAATTTAGATACTTTAATGGCAAGGTAGTTTAGGTAAGGTATGCAATAAATGTTTCCCCCAACCCCTCCAAACAGTTAGGGTAATGGAAAATGTGTGCTCTAAATGAATCTTTTCAGTAAAGTAATTCTTGTTTTAATTATTTATCAGTTAGAAAATATGAAATATAATGACATAGCAAACTTCTCTGGAACCTCTTTTCGTGTTGAGGGAGCACTCTTACATTAGCCAGGGTTTTATGCTGGCTGTAACTAAAAGGCTAACATAATGCAGTGTGCGGCACTAATCTGTTTCTCGTAACATTAAATGTGCAGCAAGCAACTACCACTGTGAGGAGACCCTTTGGATCTATTATTTGCAATATTTTCACCATGGCCTTGACCTTAGTGATGTCAGGCATATATTACATCTCCACTATAATTTACTATTGACATCATGGATTAAATTTGTTGTTTCAGCTAATGCAACAGAGCAAGCAAGGTAGATTGTGAAACAAAGCCAGCTGCTGAAATACGAGGGTTGTCAAGTATAAATTTACAAAAGATATTCAGACTGAGCGCAGAAGACAAAAATAAATGGACAGAGAAGCTGTTTTTGACAGACTGCAAAGGGCTAGAGACTTAAACTTGAGCATTGTAAATCCAAATGTCACAAAACACTGCTACAGAATGTGAGACATGTCTATTTCTCAGGAATATAAATGGTGATATGAAACCAAACTTTCAAGATGCTGTGCATTTTTGAAAAGTCTATCACTATCTCCTGATAAGAAATTTAGTGATCTTTTCCTCTTAGCTTTAAAAGCAGGGAAATTCATCATTTAAATTCAGTGACCAATATAATAACTGTATTTGGGGCAGGTAGGTTATAAAAATAGCAAAAAGCAAGCTTTGTATACTTTTCTAGATTTCTAGAAAAATATATTAAACTGACTGATATGTTCTCTTGGTGAAATTTGCCAATAGCGTCTAATTAATTCTTATTTGGGTATTCATATAAATAGATGGGGATTTTCAGCTAAATTATGTGTCTGTCAAAGAATAGTGCTATATAAAAATAAAATACTTTATTATTTCATATATGTTATGTTATTCATATAAGTCAGGATGGGTTCTCTTGCCACGGGTTTACTGCAGTTTCTAGAATGACATACTACCTCACCACCTGCAGACAGGACTCAATAAAGCAAGACATCCATGGAGTGAGGTGGTCAGCAGTGCTCATGCCTGCCTGCTACTGGGGCCGGGGAGCATTCTTCAATTGCTTCAGCTTCCTAATTCTCAAATCATGAAGCAAGTAACTGAGGCTGAAAAAGGAGGTGCAGCATGCTGGCCAAAGCCTCCACCTTGGACATTTTCATCTCCATGTTTGACTCAGCAACAAGCATTCGCTTTCTTATTTCTTTACAGCTTGAGGGAATAAATCTAACTTGAGGAAATTAAACTCTGACTCCATGACCTAAATAAGTTGTCAGCACAGATTTAAGAGGAACATGTTGTAGTCACAGGACCATCAATGAAGTAACTGTGGGTTCTACCAATATATAAACAGAGGGCACTGTTCCAGGATAAATGTAGAGACAGGAATGATACCTTTCTGTGTGATATTTGGAATACCTCCAAAACAACTGCATCTTGCAGAATCCTCTCCCTCAATGCAAATCTAGTTGTGGCCTAACTGATGGGATGGCTACCTCTAGCAATCAGAGAGCAGAGGATGTGAAATAACAGCTAGCAAGACCAGACTTTGTTTCAAAGGGGCTCATGGTTTTTTGTTGAGATTTTTTTGGTAGTCATAAGCTCTCATTGTAAATAAAAATTGGGATGGGTTAAAGCAAGGTTTTGACACATGACTAAAAGCAGTGTTAAGACGAATGGTCTTTAGCTTTTTCCTATTGTGTCAAAGATGCTGTGGGAGATGATCAATGTAGGCCAGACCCAGAGAGATTCTACGCACCACTGACTGCAAACACCTCCCTGGAGCAGCTCAGATACAGTGCGCTGCAAGAGGTAAGAGCAACAGCATGCTGCATGAGCTTAGCATTAATTTTGATTCATTTTGCAGATCAAGCATGAAAAGCCTTTTGTAGTCCTCTCTGGCACTAAAGAATTTACACCAGTTTAAAATTTTTCACTCTTAGCATCAATTATTTGTGACAATTTCAGATAGCTATCTAATTTTGGCAATGCAGTGTTCATACCCAGGGCTTCATTCAGCCTATATATTGATTTTCTCTAAGCTCTGCTTTTTTTGGGGAAAATCTTTTACATTGATACACCTGGCCAGCAGATGTGGCTTGGCTATTATATGTGATGCAATTAATCTGGAAGGCTGGCGTCACAGGACTTTCCATGATGCTGTGGCAGCATTATTGTGATTCATTAGTGTCACTTCCTCAGCAGGTTGTAATTGGCAGTGCTATATTGTTTCTGCAGAAGAACAGTCAATGTGGTGATAGGAAAAAGAAAGGCATATTTTCTTTTCTGAGGAAAACAAAGGTTATCCTTGTTTACATATCTAGTGTAAACGTAAAATGAACAAGCTCCATTCTTAATTTACCTCTTCTACCTCACTGCAAAGCCTAGGTGTTAGAGGATGGCGTTGAGATGCATTCACCAGACAAAAAGTGTTTCCTATTATTAATGGCTGGAGGAGCCCTCTGTGTAATCAAAGGGCACAGCTGCGGTGATATACGGCCAGTGACAAACGGAGAGATCTTTCCTTCTCACTGCTACAAGCTTACCAGCTTGCAGCCAGCAACTTCCAGCACTGTATATCTGCAAGATAAATAGCACAAGATATGAATATACGCAGTGCTTACAGTCTTGAAAAGTATTGTTATATCCCCCACATACAATCATTCTAAATATGACTCGAGTGCATTTTTCACAATTTCAGAGCTATTCTTGCTGTTTGTAAATAGATACAGTTTCTGAGCAGAGATTTAAAACCCTCTAACAGTGCTGCTTTCCGAGGTCTGGTTTGGAGGCGGGTGCTGTACAGCTGATCGTGTCAGCAGAGCAGCTTTTGTGAGATTCATAGCTCTCTTTTGCAGTGACAAGCAGCACTGAACTTTTCTGTGAAAGGAATTAGCTAAAGAATATACAAGGAATCATTTTTATTTCTCTTATGCACCTATGCCAAAGCAATTTAAGGGAAGAACTCATTCTTTTTAATACGTATATATTTAAGAAAAAGCCGCGTTAGCCATTTCTTCTGTAGCTGTTTCTAGTCACATTTTAGTCCTTTCATTTTACAAAGCTAGATACTCTGTGTAGTAATGCTTAGCTTTAAGCTAAGGATGTACCTGAACTGAGATAAAACTTTAAAGCTAAATAGGGAACAATTGCCAGTGAAAAGTAAGGCAAACCTTTATTGGTAAATAAAAAATGATGTGCCCTTTTGCCTGGTTTGATTTTGTTGCTGTTGGTATAAGTGAGTCCAGATTTCCACAAACATGAAACTAAATCCTCCAGTGGGCAAGGTCATCCCTTCCATGGGCTCAGTGGCAGGAAGGTGTCCCCACGCACACGCATGCACCCACAGGCAGGCACACACAGGCACACGCACACGCGGAGGAAGTCAATGCTGCTCCATGACCTTTCCATGAACTTTCTAGGAGATGCAAAGATCAGTCAAGAAGGCAAAGGTCAGCATTCATGCTGGTCACAAACAAAAATCAGATTTAGCCAGTCACTGGAAGAGAGTTTCTGGGCCCTTGGATTATCTGAGCAAAATACTAATAAATACATTTTGCATAGTGAAAAATTGACTCAGTCGGTGTTTACTGTCTCAGCATGGCTCAGTTTTGCTGCACTCATTTGACAACTTGTTAGAAGTTATGTTCATTTTTCCCCTGTAATATACCTATGCAAGAGAAAGATGGAGTTAAATAATATGAAGGAGGTGGCACAATGTGAGAAGAATCTGGGAATTCAGAGTGAGCAGTACCACTGCTCGTGTGGTGAGACACAAAAGTATGAACTGAAGAAAGGAAATTACGTGTTGGCTGCCTATGAAGAAAAACATTGAGATAAAGCAAGGCAACAGTAAACGAAGTCAACAATTTCAGTTGTAATTGACTACTCCAGCCTCTCACACAGTACTTGTTATCAGATTATACCACAGTGGTATCTTTGTATAAATCAGAAAAAAAAAAAAAATCAGAATGAAATATACAAGTAATATAATCCTACTTTCAGCAGGTCAGAAGTGAAAACAAATGTGATGATTTGCTTCTGCTGTAGCCTGAGGTGGACATTTGCCCAAGTGACAGCACACAAGATACATTTTAGCACAAAATTCCCATTGACTTCAATGGGTCCCTGGTCTAACCCAGACACAGCAAGTGCTGTGTCCTAGCAGCAGCACAAACCCCTACCATATGAGTGTCTTTACTACAGCAGGCTGGATGATCTTGTTCTCAGATATGAGTTATTAGGATCACTATTTTGTTTCCTCTTGCCTTTGCTTTTCTCACTGGCACAGTCCACTAAACTAATGTAAATACTTAAGTTCCATTTAGGGAAAATGATGAGTGAAGCTCAGGAAGGATTACAGAGATGTGAAATTTTGGTTGCCGATTGGAAATAATACATTCAGCTTGTAATAGTGTACTTTAATAATGGCAGGTGGCTCACTGATACACTTTTATCTTACATATTATGAAATTTCTTGATATATCCTTCAACTCAGAAAGTTTTCCAAGTAAAACAAAGTAAAAGGAAAAAATATGATTATATGTGACTTCAGTTATTTCTCACGCTTATTCTTTTTTAGAGTCATCTGGATTATTTTCACCACTACCCACATCTTTTAGCTCCTAAAACAAATGATCTTTCACCAGTAATTGCTCACTCCGGAGCCAGTTTTACTGTGCTTTCTTTTGTAAGAATAAAAAAAATTTTAAAAAGGTCGGGTTCGTTCTCCAGCTTTTGCACTAGAATATGAGTGAAAATGCTTCTGCAAGACCCAAATTCTGCAGCGTTGGGGCACTTCCTGCCCGGGCATTGAGAACTAAAGTGCTTTTCAAAACAGCGAGGAGCTGTCAGAGCACTGAGGCTGCTTTGTGCCCGCCCGAGCAGTGGGAAGGCAGCTCCTCGCGGCCGGGAGCTGGTGTGTGCAGACTCCAGCCTGGACCAGAGCTGGTCTGAAGCTTCCAGCTTCTCCGTAAAGGGGTTTGGGGAGTATGGCCTGAACAGTAATTCTAGATGAGGCTTGGGCTGGGATGGTGAAGCAAGGCATAAATTAGACAAGTTCAAGTCAGGCAGTACTTAACATACATAATTCAAGGAGGGCTTACAGCCAGTGCTACTCTTCTGTCTCCATTGCAGAGCAGAATAATGGAAAATCCGATCTTTTAATCTTTCTGCAAATATTTAACTCCTTTTAAAGTCCTTCTAATGATAGCATTTACTTCATGGTCCCGCCAACACTTTGTGTGGGAGTGCTCATAGATCCTGGAGTGGCTGTGGAGCCTCTTCTTGTCTCATCAGCCAGCAGAGAAATATTACCCAGCAGCAAATAAACGGCACTGGCCAACTTTTACTCAGGGGTATGAAAGCATCTTGCCAGGGAACACTCTGATCTACATACACTGACTTTTTAAAAAGCTGAAAGAGTCTGAGAGGACTGTAAAAGAAGCTAAGGTCATGCAAATGTTTTAAAATGGTAAACGTGATGACTAATAGACATTCAACCTATTACACTGAAAAGAACCGTCACCCCAGTCTTGGAAGCTTAACATTGGAGACAATCAGTAAATAATTAAATGACAGCAGCAGAGCATTCATCTCAGCACATTTTCAAGGAAGTTAAGTCTTGTCAGACAAGTGTGATCTTAGGGTTTTTGATGAAATAGCAAGTTCTATTGATGAAGTTAAAAACGCCAACAAAGCAGCGTACTCACATTAAATGGACTAAACCAAACAGATGATATTGAGTAACTGGGAACTGAAAGCTGCCATCCTCTGTTGAGGCCTCACAGGCACTGGCCCTTGTTCTACTCCTGTTCCATAGCTGAGGGTGGCAGTGAGGCAGGGCCAGGGACACGCCACCCAGCCAAGAGCAGAGTAGGCCCAGTGATAGTAACCACGGTCAGCCAAAAGTCCACTCATCTCAGACAAGTCCAGAGGGCGAAGGCAGATCTGAGATCGAGCTGGGAAGTCAGGTCAACGAGGCCAGATCAGGCTCAGTACAGTACTAGGCTGGCACACCTAAACTGTAACTTGGGCAATGACCAAGGGCAAAAGTCTGAGATTAAACACAGCTTCCAGGCCAGTGGACAAGAGCCCCACATGAGGCTTTCTCCAACTCTTTTTCACGCAGATCTTTCTCACAGCTTAGCTGCTTTCACAGAAGCTCAGTCCAGGGTTACACACCTGCACGGTGTCAGAGCTGCCCTGGAGCACAGGCAGCCCGCCCCGCGGTGGCACTGGGGAGGGAAGAGCCCGCAGAGCAACTCAGGGCCTCACCATGGATTTGGGAATAATGGTAGCTAAACAAAGGAACACAGACTTCCAGTACAATATACACAAGAGTTTGTGAAGACAAGAAGATACACAGCACTAACTAGATTTCAGAAGGTGCTATTATACCTGCATATAGTATTAGTGAAAATGCTCATGGGGTTATTGGGCCAGTTCTTGAAGCATAATATGAAAGTAGAAAAAGGTTTAAAAAAAAAGAAGTGCAAAGAAAAAAAGAGTCAGGAAAATATGCCTTAATCTGTTAAGGTTATCCAAGAAGGAGTTAAAAAGTGACTTAATCAAGGTCTGCAGGTATCTACATAAGGAAGAGATTTCTGATAACAAATAGCTATTTAGTGTAACAGAAAAAGGCACAATAAGATCCAATGGTTGGAAGCTGCCGTACTTTCTCTAGCATGGGCCATTAATCATTGGAACAACCTACCGCAGGATGTGGTAGATCATTTGAAGTCTTTAAATCAAAACTGCATCTTTACAAAAGAAATTCCCTCAAACAGATCCTCAAAGAGAAAATCTGCAAA